GCCGCAACCGGTGGCTCCGGCCTCCCCGGCGCTGCGGATCGGGAGGCGTCGCCGCCCGAACCCCCGCGCGGACCCGTGGTCAGCGTCCCGAGGCCACTCGGCAGGTCCGTGACCGTTTCGATTTCTGTTCCCGAGTCTTGTTTTGTTCGCCGAAAAGACGGCTGGAGGGACTGAGCCGAGCGTCCTGCGAAGCAAGGCCTGCTCTTTGCGGAGCAGAAAAGCCTTGTGAGACGAGAAATACATTCCCGCGGAAAGGATGGACGTCGTGTTAAGTTTTTCCCAAGACGCCAGCTGTTCGCGTGGGGTCTCGCACTAAGCTGTCAAGCCTAGGTCACCCCTAGAGCTTGCTTGCTCACAGAGTGGGCTGGGACGCTTCTGTCTCAAGTAGGTTTTTTGTTTTTGTTTTTTTTTTTTACTTGGTTGAAGCTCTTCCCCGCGGGTCACTCAAAGCCGTTAATGACCACAGTGGTGTCTGGTGAGTCCTGTATTCATCAAAAGGATTTGAAGGAAGATGCATTTTGTCAATATCTGCGTATGTCCTCTCCCGAATCACTATTTTTAAGATGTCATGCTTAACTTTATTTCATCTGAAGCAAAATGCCTGAGCATGTAACTGTTGGCTGGTCAGCTGTCTTGATAGGGTGGAAGATGAATGTGTTTTCATAGATCCATGTTGGGGCCTGTTAACTCGTGGCAGATGTTGAGCGCTTCTAGGCCACAGGTAGACTCAGAGTTCAGATTTGTTTGCAACGTCACGAATATAGCGGCCAGTTGGAGCTAGAGGGGAAACAGTTGTGTTATTCCATTGTTGACAAGCTGCCTTATCTTGGGGTAGGTTTCTACCCAGTTGATTTTCCTTGTTTGCAAAAGTAGGATAAGTTGATCACCATTCTTTTGGTTCTAAGATTTGGAGACTTCTTAAAATGGTATTTAAGCGTGTCGAAAGCCCTCACGATATGTGTCTTTATAAAAATAGATTAGAAAAGCCATCTTGTTAGCTATAGCCAGGATAATTTTGTGAATTTTATTTGGACATAGGCATTTAGAAATGGCATTTCAATCCACTTAAGAAATTAGCTTTTTGGGGCTGGATTGTTCAGCGGTTAAGACTACTGATCGTTCTTCCGGAGGACTCGAATTCAATTCCCAGCACCCACGTGGCTCACAACTGTCTGTAGCTCCAGTTCTAGGGGCCCAAACCCTCACACAGAAATACACGCAGGCAAAACACTAATGCACGTAAATAAAAATTTTAAAGTGTTTTAAAAATAAAAAATTGCCTTTTAACAGTGAAGTCCTAAGAGGACAGTGAAGCTTTGTTTTGCTTACGAATGTCCTATGGCCACATACACATTAATAAATAAAAGATTTTCAGCCCCCACCCACAAAGGGTTTCCTGGAATTAAATAAACACCTGCCCCTTCCCCAAGACAGCCACCATTCTTACTTCTACCCAGCCAGTGAACTTTACCTCATAGCAGGATCTCTTAGAATGTGAAAGGGGCAGTATTCATAACTGAAGAACAGCAGGTATGTGACCTCGGTGTTGTGGGCGATTTAGTTATGATGCTGTGTTTTTGTAATGCTGTAGGCCTTTTCTGTATCTACAATGTCTTAGTATTCCGACCTTTGATCTTTGTGGTCTGAAGGACATTTTAGCTGAGTAGGATTTGGTGTGTTTGGATTGTGTTTCTGGGAGTTTTTATGTTCACAGTTGAAGTTACATTATTATATCATTGCCCATTTGGGGATACAGATATATCTGTAGAGAATAGGTTTGAGGGAAGAACCATGGATTTTCCCAACAAGTTAGAGTTGAAGGTGTCAATCAGTAGGTGAGTTAATTCCTTAAAGCATAGAATTTGCAAAGAAAATTGAATGAAAATTGATTTTTTTTAAAGTCCAGTGAATTAATAATATGGGTATAAAGCTTTAACAACCTTCTAAATGACAGCAGTTAACTTGATTTATGCATGTAGGATGTACACCTGGCTTATCAAATCATTAAAAGTCCAACAGTAAAAGCAAGAACAAAACATAAATAAAAGTATGTCAGTGCAGTTTTTTTTAAGTCCCTTTGATTTAAGCCATTTTTTGTATTATAACCCTATGCAAAAGGTTGAAATTTGTGTAAGTGCTGCAATAATTTGCCTGTATCTCCCAAATATCCTTTAATATATCTTTGTGCCTTTGTTTCTACTGCTTCAGGAGGCAAATTAGGTTCTAAGTGAGTGCTTATTTTGTTAGTGTCTTGCAAAGGCCTGTGTTGTGTTGTGTTGTGTCCCCCCAAGTCTGTGTGATAGAAAGTGGGAGTGGTTTACTGCCATGTTAGAGATATATGTTGACAAAGTTCAAAGGGGTGTGCAGTGTGTGTATGTGTGTGTGTGTGTGTGTGTATGAGGGAGGGAGGAAGGGAGGGAGAGAGAGAAAGAGGGAGGGAGGTAGAGAGAAATGGCTTCTCTAAATAATTCCCTGTCTAATCAGCTAGTTGATGCAGCAACTGATTTGAATTTGGTCATTTCACTCAAAGTTTATAGACTCCTGAACTAATAGAGTACCTGATGATTTAGTCTTCATTGATCAACTATTTGATTTTTCTTTTTTTTTTGAAATCTTGGCTTTTCTTTATGAAAACTGCTGAATTGAAGGCATATATAAGAAACAAAATACAAAAGGGAGTTTCTTCTCTTAAATGTTTGTTTCTTTGGGAACCATGATTTTCCCCTTTATGTGCTCACAAGTACCCAGAGATTTTAAATACATGAAAAACAATGCTTTGCTAACAGGGCATGGTGAGATAGGCCTATAGTCCCAGCATCTGAGAAGCAGAAGGGTTAAACTTCAAAGTTATCCTCTGCTACTCAGTGAGTTTTAGACCATTATGGACTACATAAAACCCTGTCTCAAAACACTAAACCGAACCGTGTACTAAATAAACTGAACAGCCACTGAAGTGCGAAAGTCTTTGCCTGCCCGCACATTTGTAGGGTGACCTTTGCTTTCATGGTGGTAACTAGACTCAGCCCTGCATTAGAAATGTGGTGTAGCTGCAGATGTCATTTGACTTTAATAACTGTAGAAAAGATGAATGAACCAAACTTCATTTACCTTTTATAATGGCCTTATGTTATATTCACGTGAAGTGACAAGTACAGAATATTATTTATAAAGGCATTTCTGAATGCTAAATATTGCTATGTTAAACATTTCCATTTTAAAAATGTAAACAGACTTTATGACATTATTTGACCCATAACATTTTATAACAATTTCAGTGAAATTTAGAAAGGTAAATGGCAGAGTGTTTTCTCTTAGGGAACTCCATTTTTTTCCAACTTGTGTGTTTTGTGTTTGCAGACAGCTTTTTCTATGTGCATAGTTGTTAGATTGGTTAAAGTGTCTGGGGATCGTGGTTTCCCAGGAGGCTTTGAGCCATTAGACTTCAGGGAGTGGGCTTTGTTAGGCTGCTGCCGTTCTTCAGGTGTTGCTAGCCCCACTGGAAATGGTTAAAAATAGAAAGGATGTGGTTAGACTGCTGGAAATCCGTGTTTAAAGTTTTCAAAAGTGAGAGTAAGGATAGGAATAAAAACAAGTTATTAAAAGAAAACAAATGTAGATTTTACTGCAGAAGTTCTCTTCCAGGTGGTGGTGCTACATGCCTTTAAATCCCATCGCTTGGGAGACAGAGGCAGGTGGATCTCTGTGAGTTCAAAGCCAGCCTGGTCTACAGAGTGAGTTTCAGGACAGCAATCAGGACTGTTACACAGAGGAACCCTGTCTAAAAAAAAGAAGAAGAAGAAGTAGACCCAGAGTGTTGGGATGGGCCTGTTCTGTGTAGTTCTGTGTGTGGTACTGAAGAGTGATAACCCCAGCACTCAGGGGGCAGAGGCAGGTGGGTGGATCTCTGAGTTCGAGACCAGCCTGGGCTACAGAGTGACCAGGACAGGCAGGGCTGTTTACGCAGAGAAACCCTGTTTCAAGTAACAAACCAAAGGCTGGAGAGATGACTCAGTGGTTAAGAGCATTGGCTGCTCTTCCAGAAGACCTGGGTTCAATTCCCACATGGCAGCTCACAACTGTCTGTAACTCAAGTTCCAGTAGATCTGACTCCGGTACATCTGACTCCGGTACAAAAACTTCGCTGGTCAAACACCACTGTATATAAAAATTAAAAAGAAAACCAAAAAACCATTTCTTTTTATAAAGGTTTTCACTATTTTTGTATGATTGTGGGCATGGCATGTTTTGTTCACTTGTTCCATTTTGGGCTTTTCTTTTTAAGAGTGTTTATCTGATTCTACATGAATGTTTGCTTGCATATAGGTATGTGTAGCACTGGCCTAGTACCTGTGAGGACAGAAGAGGGGGTGTCAGAGTCCCTGGAACTGAAGTTACAGATCGTTTCAAGCCACTTTGTGAATTCTGGGAACTGAATCCCTGTCCTCTGTCAAGAAAAACAAAGCAGCAAGTGCTTTTACCTGCTGAGCTGTAGTCTCTCCAGTCCTTTCTGCCTGTCTTTCGGGCGGGGGAGGGTCATTTCTGCTGCTGCACTGCATATTGGTCTCTTGTCGCTGCTTCCCTCCCATTTCACTACAGGGACGCCAGGATTACAGATTACCCTCCCCCCTTTTAAGAGTCCTCCCCCCAGACAGGTTTTCTGTAACATCACTCACTAGCTGTTACTAGCTGTCCTGAAACGCTCTTATAGATCAGGCTGGCATTGAACTCACAGAGTTCGCCTGCTTTTCTCTCCTGAGTGCTGGATTAAAGGTGTGCACCACCTCTGCCTGGCTTTTTAAAGAGCTTTTACAATATAATTTGTTTCATTTTGTTTTTTCATGATAGGTTCAAGATAGAATTTCTCTCTCTAACATTCCTGGATGTCCTGGAACTTGCTTTGTAGACCAGCCTGGCCTTGAACTCATGGAGATAAACCTGCCTTTGCCTCCCAAGTCTGGGACTAAAGGCATGTGCCACCACTGTCTGGCTTAAAATAAATTTTATTTTTATCATGTGTTTTACCTATGTATATGTCCATGCATAGCATGTGTGCCTGGTACTCTAGAGTTATTGACAGTTGTGAGCTGCCATATGGGTGCTAGGAATTGAAGCTAGGCCCTCTGGATGATCTGAGTCATCTCTCCAGCTCATGAATCTGCCCCCCCCCCCCCACCAAGGCATCTCGTCAGTCAGCCCACTGCAGAAGCTTTAACAAGGGTCTTTAAAAACACATTCTCTAAATCCCACTCATCCCAAACAAAACCAATCTTTCCCAGAAAGCAGATACTCTTTGAGTACTCTGTATTCTAAATCAGTTTAGTAATTAGCCTCTTTCTGTCCTAATGAAAGCATTTAAAAAGGAACTGACGCATGCAGTACGTTGCTGTATGCCATGTCAGAAATGCGGCTCCCTGCACACTGCACACCTTTTCTAGTAATGAAGTACTGAGGATATGTGTATAATTTTTCTTTTAA